AATAATTTCTAGAAAATTTATCTTCCCCAAAATGGAAGGGTTTTTTGGGTATATACCCCTCACATCTTTAATATTTGTAAATTTATCCTTCAAATATTTATATTTGCAAAATTATCCCTCAAAACTAGCATATTTGGTTTTAAGCAAGGTGTAGAAAAAGTATACTGATAATTTCCAATAGGTTTGCAACAATTTCCGTTTAAAAACTAAAATTGGTAAGTGAAAAGTGTAGAAAAAGTCAATGGGAGATAATTAGGGGGCACTTTCTCAAATACCAAGATTTAGAGGGTAATGTTGCAAATATGAAAGTATCAGTGGTATCTATGATAAACTCATAAACCCCAAAAAAGAATTACTCCATTCGAGCGAGATCAACCGAACAATCACCGACACGTGTCCACCTTGGTCACCTGCTTCCTGGCCCAAGAGCGAAGACCGCAGTCCAATACAAAACCCCAACAAACACAATTCGACAGAAGCAACCAATTTGAAAAAAAAAGCCCCAAATCTCCCCCCCCCCCAAAAATGGCGCACCGCCTTTCTCCAGCTCTTCGGATCCCGCTCACCGCCCCCCTTACCCTCCTCCCCCGGCCCGCTCACCCTCAAAGAGCCCCTTCCTGCGCTCTCCCAACCCCCCTCTCTCTTCCTCGCCGCCCATCAACCCTCACCGGGTGGTCCTCGGACCGCCCCTCTCTACCCTCGGTGGGACGCGCTAGGGTTTTAACCCGCGCGCGCGCCATCGCGGCAGACCGGGTGGTGGCGGTGTCGAATGCCTCGCTGGGTATGTTTCCAACAGTCGGCCGGCAGCGGATTGCCATGCGCCCACCGCTCAGGCCCATGGGAGCTTTATGTTTGCTAGCCGTCATCCTGGAGCCGGTGATTCGCGGCGCGTGCAACGTGCAGCAGCTGCAGCTCGCCGACTTCTGGGCCCGCACACGATGCGACCGTCGATCCCGCAGCAGCACCAGTTTGTGGTGCCGAGGCAGCAAATAGGGAACGGTGGGGCCCCTAGGACTGCTGCTCCGTCGAAGGTAAATTTTTTTGTATATGTTTAAGGTCTTTGCTGAAGTTGGGATTGATTAGATCTAATTGGTGCTTTTCTTTTAGTAAAAGTTGTTTCCTTTTTGATGTGAGGATGATATGTGTGATGATCACTGGGAATTGTTGATGACATCACATGATACAATCTTATAATGCGCTTATTGTGATTTGTCCTATTAATACTTGTATATGTGAATTATTAATCGTAGGTCCTGCTAGAATTGGGAGAGGATGCAGATGATGATTGTGATTGTTTTATATAATCTATGAGTAGAGTAGAAAAAGTGAGATTACTGATTCCAATCTCAATTACTGTAACTGATTGATAGATCGTGCTGTGTTGTTTTTCTAATCTGTCAAGAAGTTGATAAGAGATCCAATCTAGAGTTAATCAAAAACTTGAACATAATATATTCGGAGAGTCGGAGACAGCAGAAACTTAGATTGACGGGGAATACTCCCCACAATACAACAGAAAAGTCATGAAGTTTAAGTAGTATTTAACTCAACTAAATCCTACAAATACATAGATTATATTAGCAATATGTACACTGTTTATCTTATTGGTAGTATATGCTTGAGATCTTTGGATAACTCATTCATACTTTAGTAAATCAATTTAAAATCAAAATCTAAAAACACAAGATCTATGTACTCTGAAATCCTGCAGGGATCAACATGAACTCAAAATTAGAACTGGAATGTTTTGAGTTGCCGTTGTTGTTTTCTATGTAGAAAAGTTCTTCTGCACATGTTTATCTAACATTCCTTTTTTGCTTACTAATGTTTGTAGGTCGGGCCATTTGCAGCCATACCTTCTGTCCCTGAGAACAACTCTAATGACAGGTAGCTTGGACATTTGTGATGGTTTGGGTTGCTTTGATTTGAAGCAAACAAATCTAAATTTATCTTCTTAATGATGCAGGGAGAATAGTAGTGAAGATAGTATTGTGGTGATCCATGACCGAAAAGTAAGTACATTATTGTTAATGGTTTACACCCTTAGGTACCGTTTGGCAAAGGGTTAAGTGAGGGGTTAAGGAGACTTAACCCCTTCTTAAGCCGCCAAACACAAAAAATCTATACAAGGGTTAAAGTGAGTTAACCCTCCATAATTTGCCAAACATAAAAAATATAGAAGGGTTAAGCTAACCCCTCTAGAGGGATTAAAATGAGTTAACTCCTCAAAATGAGGGGTTTACTAATACTCCTATTTAGAAGGATTACGAGTTAACCCTTCTAATTATAAAAAAAATAGTCAAAATCATTGTTATTCCCAAACACTAAAACTGATCACAAGGGCTAAAATAAAACTTATTTAACGGGTTAATAATTTAGTTTTTTAGATTATCGAATGGGCTAAGTAGTACATTAATCCTTCTCTTTAGCCCCTCTTCCTTAACCCTTTGCCAAACGGGGCCTTAGTTGTTTTACAAATTTTATTTGTGACATTGTTTTATGTGTTACGATGTGAGTCCATTTTGCACATTATATTGTAAATTTATAATGGTTCTTGGTAAATTTAGAATTGAATGCTGAAACTGAAGTAGCAGCCAATGTATATCACTCTAAAGGCCAGGCCACTGCACAAGGCTCCTGTTATTGTGTCTGTAAATGGTCATTTGTACTCAGCTTTATCCTTTTTTTTAACAAAGAGACTAGTGTGCAACTTGAACTGTGAATATACTGTTGCGTCGAGGCTCAACTTTCTTACACATATTTCTCTGCTACTATAAATAAACATAGTATGTTCTACGACCATTCATGATTTCCTTTTTTCATAGAGTTTGATAAATTATGTGTTTTTTCCTTTTGACAGTTATAGTTTGATAATAATCAAAATGTTATCAGTAGTTTTATAGGAGAATGATGCATGGTCTCAGTTAAGAGAAATAATTTGGGATAACTATTAAAACCCTGTATATTCTTTTTAAAAAAAGAAATAATATTTCCTCTGTCCTTTACTTATGCAAAAACAAAATTTGCATTTGACTAAGCACTTTATTCTTTGACAACCGTTTTGAGACTGCTTACACTTCACATAGCTTGGGCTTTATTAATGCAGTAATATCATTTCTTCATTGAAGGTTAGACTATCAGAAGGCACTTCAGGCTCTCTGTATGCTCTTTGCCGATCTTGGGTCCGCAATGGTCCGCCTCAAGTAAGTCAGGTAAACGCATATTATGTCCAGATGCCAACAAGTTTTTTTCCTTGATGTTATTGTTTCGGAATATGATCTAGTCTGAGCCTCTTTTTATATTATGTATTGTCTCAGTCTTTTTGAATGGTTTCCTTCATGTATATGGAATCATGTTTTTTTAGCATGTTTTGATTTTCATAGGGGATAGGTCACAGGACATTTTTGTGCCTTCTTATCTTGAATATTTATTCTGACATTATACATATGTGTTAAAGACTGATAATGAGCTACAAATTGAAATGCTGATTATTGCTATATATATATATATATGAGAAAAATGGGTATACTTGGTACCAAGCACAAATTTTGTGCTTGGTAGTGAGGTGTCTCATTCCCATCCACTCATTCAATTGGGGGGACCACATTCAACCCATGTGAATGTGTCTGGGGGAACATGAGAAGAAATCAGTGAATAGAAGCATCTGTAATCTCTTACCTATTTCAGGCATACTTCTGGTCTGGACATGCCAAAATTGCAAACCTCCTATTCCAATGTCATTAAAGGCAAACCATATTTTCATGTTACTGCTACAGTCCAACTTTCTAGTCATATCTATTTAAGCCACAGAAAATGGATTGATGACATTATTTCTTTTTGATTGGGTTCACTTGAATTGGATGAGTTCATTATAAGTCTTTCTTTGTACTAGTTTCTCAATTATGTCAACTAGATTTCAAAAGTGATATCTTTGATTGTTTCTTAATTAGAATCTCCTATTTCTTTCCTGGCATTTTGTTGATAGTTTTTACTTAACTTGTCTCTATGCAGTCAACTTTTGGGGATAGTTTGAGGATTCTCCCAAAACCCTTACCAGCAGCTCTGGTTAATATGCAAGCAAACACAAGTGAAGATAGCAATGGAAATGACAAGTCTGATAAAGATGAGGTCAGTGTGAGGATAACATCTTGTTTTCCCTGTTCTTTGGTTGTATGAAATGATAATTTTATTTGCTTTCTTGCTTATGCCAATGGTTTGCATTCAAAATGATGTGCATATATTCTTTTAGAGTTTGCTGCTGGTTAGACATCTCAGAGAATAGTAAATGTGCTTCTAGCTTATAGTTTTTATTTTACTTGATTGTGATGTTTAGGAGTTGCGGGCAAATTCAATTTCTGAGATCAAGTGAGAACTTTCAAAATATCAATTGTTTGGTCTTTAGCCAATAAGCCAAATACCCATATTTGCACACTTTTTTAATATTAGCTGGCTCATTAATTCTAATACCATCTTTACCTGTATATTACCAACACATCAACTACTACATATACAATATTTCATGGACACCTGATTTAAGCTTCATTAATTAAACACATTGAAACATTGTTAAGTTTAACCAGTTCTTATTAATGTTGATTATTTTTTTTTATTTTAATTGTTGATGCAAGAAACACATTACTTGTAATCCAAAACCATTGTTTTATTTAAGTTGCCTGCAGCAAGAATCCATTATTTCTGATCCAAAGTCACTGACGAAACTTCTGCTTCCTTGGCAATCAATTTTGCATGCTTGCAAGCTAGTTCCTTATAGTTGTCCTTATTAGACAAAGGTGCAAAGCATTTATAGCTGTACAGTCTTCTATGGATTTCCAGCGAACTTCTATGGCTACCATTAGTTTGCTAAGTAGAGATAAGTTATTTCATGTATAGATTGATTTAGCAAGTTATGATGTATAAATATGTGTGCAGGATTTAGGTCCAATTGAGCAATTATCTGCACAGGACTTGTTAAAAGGTCACATAAAACATGCGAAAAAGGTTCGGGCACGGTAAGTTTTCTGGATCCTGTTGTGTGGTACCTCACATTATGAAAATTTTGAGTATTTTTTATAACAGTCCAATTGTATAATGCTTAAGACAGCTACTACACTATATAAGCACATTATTGTGCTCTTACTGCGGATGTATATATGTATCCTGACAGCTCAGTTCATTTTGCTCTATAGTCAAGTGAAATGCCTACGAAAGTGTTACCTTTGAAGTTTAAAGAATCTCTTAAGACCTCCCTCTTGGGCTTCCTTGTTCTTCAACATGATCAGAACCCATCCAATAATAAACTCTTATCATGATGTTTTAGGTCCTACCTAAGGAATCAAATTTATGCTGATTATAAAATTTTGTTGCAGACATCATCCATTTAACATCTGCCTCCAATGGTTTCCAAGCGAAGCATACATCTTTGAATACCATTGGGAAAGTTCCCTGTAATTCTTCCGTACTGGATGTCTGAAATCATCTTCTTTATGTAGATGTTAATCTTCTCATTTTAAAGGTTTACTCATCACTAGCCTGATCCCCTTTTAGGATGCTCATGGTGACTGATACCTGTAGATTTAGTGTTCCAACTTGATCTGCAGTTGACCAATCTTGAGATTTGCTATTGCTGCATTGACTATGAGACTATCAATTCTTTCCAAATCTCTACCTTTAGTATCTTTCTTTATTATTATCTTATTTTATTTAATTTTTTATGGGTACCATATTATGCCAGAACACGCAAAATAGGCCTGTGAGCTTGTCTTGAGTTGTACATGATAAGGGCATTGAGATCATTGAGAGACAGAGACCAACATGGTCTGTTTCTTAGCATTCTCTGCCTTCACTTTTCCAGTAATTTTTTTGTGTATGACTGTTACAACTTACAACTATAGATATTAGTCCCAGTTTCATTCTCGTGAACTTCCTTGTACCAAAACAGTCTTATCTTTTATGTGTAGATTTATGATTAGGATCCGAAGGGTCATCCTAAGTACAACACGGACATGCCAATATGGGCACAACATAACATAAAGTGCCATCGCATTATAAAAAGTATTGAAACAATGGCGGGGTCTGATAATAGAAGTATCTGTGCTTTATATCCAAGTTGTGTGTTTAATGCATTCCTAGTCAGCTGTATATTCATTGTGTAATGCATTCCTAATCAGCTGTTTTTTCTCAGTCGTTCCTGTTTTAATGATCCCCCCTTTGTTAACATGACCCAATGGTGACCAACGTTCTCCCCCTTGATCACTGCTGCCCTTGTTCTTCTGCTTATCCTATCATCTTTGTTCCCTCAATCCACTTGGTCCCTTTATTCACTCATTTTTTGCTCTCCCAGTGAATTTTTGTTGTTTAATTAGATACGTATGCATTAACATGTTTCTTTTTAGAAGATCAGAAGATCTGTTTGTGACTTGTCTAACACGCGGCTAAGCGATCTATAAATGTTCTGTCAATCTTATGTTTGCCTTGTTTTCACAGGTTAAATAAAGAACGGCATTTAAGGATAGAACGGTACAAACAGAGACTCTCCCTTCTGTTACCCACACAGATTGAGCTTATAGGTAGAAATGAAGCTACCCCTGGAAGATGATTCTGGATGTAAAAGATGGAATATTGCCTTCTTATGTTCACCTCAATATTAGATGCCAGGATCATGTCCCAACGGTTCTTAGGCCACAAAAATGCGAACATATGACTGGACAAAGCAGCTAATTTGAGCCTGTTGAGTTACATTCTGATGATTTGCTGCTAACTTGTGTTGGACAAAGCAGCTAATTTGAGTCTGTTGATTAGAGATGTTAAATGGGTGGGTATGGGTTTAAATGGGCGGGCCATAAATGGGCGGGCATGTTTTGCCCATTTACCCATTTAAGGCCCATTTAACATTATTTAAATGGGCGGGTTTTTGCCCGCCCATTTAATAAACGGGTCGCCCATTTGCCCATTTAACTATAGTACATATATATGTATAATACTTTTGGGGTGTTTTTTGTAAACTTTTAGGGTTTTTTTTTGTAAACTATTGTGGGTTTTTTGTAAACTTTTTGGGAGCTTTTTGCAAACTTGTTGGGGCTTTTGATAAAATACTAACAAAGATAGGAACATAAACAAAGATAAACAAATACAGACAAATTCATGATTGAACCATTTACAAGCCTGGATAAAAGTATAGACCTCACACATTTGCAAAATTAACCTCAAATTTCCAAACCAAAAACCAAAAGATCAATAACAACAAAATTGCGAGTATATTTAAATGAATTAAGATAGAAAACACAAGGTATGCAAGGATCTGTATAAGATCAATAACTTGATATAAACGCCATCATAACTATCAGCAACACGATCACGATTAGTAAGGACAATCTACTTAATTACTTGATAAACTAGAAGAGTAGTAAGTTCGTCTATAAACAAAATAGTAGCACAACCATAGTCTACTTATTTCCCATCTTTCAAATGTTCAGGCATAAACAGGATCATGACAGAAGAAAGAAAAGACCATGAAACAAAGATCAAAAGGGAGGGATTTTACGAGAAAGTAAATCTTAGCCCCCAAATTGACAATGCTGCGACTGACAATAATCACAACGCAAGGAAACAGTATAAACATATTACAGAATCAACCAAAATCAACCAAAATCACAGCTTCAGCAGCAGCAGCAGCAACAACAACTGCTTCGGCAGCAGCAGCTTCAGCAACTTCAGCAGCAGCAACAACAACAGCAACAACAGCAACAACAGCTTCAGCAGCAGCGCTTGCTTTCTCGTCAGAATTCGTCTGTGCCATTTATTGAACAAATTCAAGGTTCTCTGCAGCATCAACAGTCAGTTAACCAGTATATGCCAGAGTTGGAGCAATTTTTGAAACTTCAGTTAGAGGAGCAACATCATCTTCAACAGCTGTAGCAGCAACAAGAATTGCATCAGCAACAACAGCAACTTCAGCTCCAAATGCAACTAAAAATCATGAAACTTTACTTGGTTAATTGTTCAATTTTCGAACATTTGCTGCAGCAGCAGTTGAATGACCCTGTTTATCAACTTAGTTAAGTGTTACGCGGCATGAGTCATAAGAACATTTCATATATAAACTATTAATGAGATTGCTAAGTCAAACTATCAAATTAAACAATTAACCAAGTAAAGTTCATGAACCATGGGAACTGTATTAATATATAAAGAACTTAATATTTGTAATCTCATGATTTAAGGGAAATCCTTCTTGGTATTTGTACGTGTAGTGTAAAAGTGAGGCAAAAGCTCAAAAATTTTGCTTTCTCATATACTAATTAATTGTAGGATTAGTTGAACATACAAGTACATAAAAGTATTCACACTTTAAATCATTACACAAGAACACGAGAGTGAATGTAAATGGTATACTTCGACAGCATAAACAAAATTGAAAATCTACTGGAAATAGCATTAACGAATTGGAGCTTTGTAAAACCAATTAACAGTCTACAAAATTAACATCTGTAATTTAGAAAATAAATGCTAATTACTAAGTATCGCGTCAAAGTTTTTGATGTGTACATAACGTAATGCAATAAAGCAGTGTCAACTGAATCAATGAATTTCCTATCTGACCATGTGAACAAGTGTTTGCCATCTATTTTCAACTTTATATCAAAACTCTTATCCTTGAATAAACACATCTACAACAAGGATTCTATCATGTTTCAAGCTCAGGTCACTACACCTTAATCAATGTCTGATGTTGTCTTGGCTCAAGGCAAATACCATGCCACACTTGCATGTTACTGGTGAAATAAACTAGACATTACAAGTATCATCGTCAACAAAAGACTCCTTATAAGATCAATAACTTGATATAAATGCCATCATAACTATCAGCAACACGATCACGATTAGTAAGGACAATCTACTTAATTACTTGATAAACTAGAAGAGTAGTAAGTTCGTCTATAAACAAAATAGTAGCACAACCATAGTCCACTTATTTCCCATCTTTCAAATGTTCAGGCATGAACATGATCATGACAGAAGAAAGAAAAGACCAGGAAACAAACATAACACTCAGTTGGACTCAATAGCAACATTAAAAGTACTGCAGCAAGCCTCATATGTGCGTCTTCATAGCAAGGGTTAGAATCCGAAATCACCATAGAGACCTCAATATTTCTCCTGCATCAATCATCCATAGAATTAGTTAATTTTGTCACAAACGTATGATATTGTCATAATAATGAAACACTAGATAGCAAGATGCGATCTTTGGGAACCAGGGGACTAAAGATCAGCTAAATACACAAAGAACTTATCAGATACGTAATCATATAACAAAATTATGGTTTTACGAGAACAGGAAACATGATAGTAAATACAGGAACCAGAGCCAAGAGACCTGCATGCATTGTTAATATGCTTGAACTTTGAGCAAAAGGCATGTGACACTCAGTTCAAGTAGTTTGAAAATCTAACAGCAAAAGGATTATATGACTTAATACAGCATAAAATAAGGCCGAACCTCGGTTGCCAAGTTCACCATCCAGTGATTCCTCATAAAAGAAGCTGAAAGGCCTTGCAGATAGTAATGATTTAGACAATAGCTCATAGGAAAACCACTCTTTTAAATTCTTCATCTTCAGTTAATCTGAAAAACAAAGCGAAAGTATAGAATTCAATACCCAGCAAATAAACGATAAGCAAAAGATTACTACATACAAGGAAAAACTTTTGTCTAAGCATATAATTTTGCCTTTCCATACTCTGCTCAAGCAGTAAATGTCAGAATGCACAACAATATACTAGGAATGCTGGTATTTTGTCCTCTGATGCAATAAATTTTTGGAAGTAAAGGGAGTAGCATAGAAGAAACAACTCATATGGATATGAATGCTCAGAATGTGAGAAGAAAACTTACAGAATTAAAGAAGATATTTGAATGCTTTTAAATAAAACACAGAATGTCCCCGCTGGTGATATTGATGTTTCGAGTGGATAAAATGATAAATCAGTACTCGAAAAACATAATTTAAGCTGAGAAAATGAGAAATGGTACTCACAATATGCACAAAATATTGCAAATGTTTCGAGTGGATAAAATCAGTACCACACAACTTTTCTTATTGAAGGCGGAGAATATTTCCATAGGCAATCACAATGTTGAAATTAACAGTTATTTATATGTTTCATCTAAACATATAAATTAACATTTTTCCCAGGTAATATTTCCATAGCCAAATTCTGTCTCTAGCACATATTTTCATCAATTTAAATTTATAAAAACACTTTTGAACGTATTTAAGTTAAAATATAAAATTTCTAAAAGTTACCAAATAAATGATTAAGCACGATTTCTTAAGTCTAGGATCTTTATTGAAGAAGATTTAATCCGAGGTTCTTGATATTTGGAAGCATTCATAGATCATTAAGAATTACTGAATATAATTCTGAAAACTATAGAAATTTCTAAATAAATCAACAAACATTAATTTGTTGGGGTCACCTGAATCAAAAGCAACGAAACCCCCACAAACTCCACCAAGGACCCAACAATCACAATCGAAGGCACCGCGAACTCCACAAGACCCAACTGCGGATCAAACCGCACCAGATCCGCACAAAAATCAACCTCCGACCCAACTGCGGAGGCGGCGACTTGAGGTGGCGGAGGCGGTGACTTCAGGCGGAGGAGGAGGAGGAGGCGGAGGAGATTGGGATCGGGATTGAGGCGGAGGAGATTGGGATCGAGGCAGAGGAGAAAGAGGAGATTGGGAATTTTGGGATCGGGTTTCTTTTGTTTTGGTTTTGGGAATACGGTGGGCGGGCAAACGGGCGAATAAACATTGCCCATTTAGTGCCCATTTAGAATAATGTAAAATGAACCCGCCCAATTAGACCCATTTAATTAAATGGGTGGGTGTTGGGCGGGCCAAATGATGGGCGGGTCAGGTGGGTAAATGGGTATGGGTCAAAATTGACATCCCTACTGTTGATTTACATTCTGATGATTTGCTGCTAACTTGTATTCATTGTGCCTGTAATGGAAGTTAGGTTGCTGTTTAGTAGCCGTACTTAACTTTGCCACTGAGCAGTATCAAATGATAAGGAGTATAGTTCAATGTTCATGTTCTGATGACCGAAGTTATCTTATCGTGTATAAAGTATTTAGAGGCATATTGTGTATTAGGTAATTTTTAATTTTTGTCACATTATCTCTTTGTGCTAGATCTATAGTGTTTAAGCCCCTTATTTTAGCTAAAAGTTCCAAACGGAATCTAGTCTTCATACAAAAAGGGACTTCTGAAATCGCCCGGTAACTGTATTGGATGTATTTATGACTGCAGATATCAGGGAACCATTTTGATGACGACTATTTTTCAGAAATCCAGACTGCAAGATACGTCCCTTGCGTCGACAATTATTTGCTATTTGTGCAAGAAGGTTTAGACAAGAATTGCATATTCAGTTCGGAAAAAAAAAACATTGCTATAATTTGTGAACATATAGATTGTTGCCAATTTCGTACATAAATGCATCTATCATGCCAAAAAAACTAATTATTACAAATTCAAGGAATCATTAGCACCACTTTTTACATGAGTTGGGTAACGATTAACGAACATGCCCGTTCACAAGATAAAGCAATCTTTCATACTTTCAACACCTAAAACTCAATTTTAATATTTTTTACGAGTCCCTCCGAATAAGGAAGACAAAATAACGTTGAAAAGGAAACCGGAGAATTTTGTCTCCTTAATTTCTTTTTATTCAAATCCAATAAACACTGTTGTAAGAAAAATACAAAAAATAATCGAACACAACCGACAATAAAACCCACCCAAGTTTCCCCTCTTAATTCCCATTAACCACCCTGCAATTCCTCCTAATCTCCCCTTTACCCCCCAACAACGGGCTAACGTTCCCCATTCTCACCATCGACGCTCCAAAATCACGGAAAAAGCTATTCTGACTATTAGCAAACGCCTTCACTATCGAAGCGGTCGGGGCTCCATTAGTCGAGAAAAGCTCTTGATCACTCTGAAATAATCCCTTCATGCCCTTGAGGTTGCTATAATACTTGTTGTCGAATGTATCGGGAGTTGTTGGGTCGAGGTCGTTCAATGTGTTGCCGTTTCCATGTTGAGGGCAGTTGTGTCGCAATTTTGCTAGGTAGGCGGGGTTTAGGGTCGGGTCGGGTTTCCCGTTGCCGGTGAAGTTGTAGAGCCGGTTGGTTATGAACTTGCATTGTGCTCGGCCGAATGTGTGTGCTCCTGTAGAATTCGGGAAGGTTTCGGGAGTTTAGTACTAATGAATTAATTACATTTTTGGCCTCAGTTTAGATATGAAAATGATTTACTGTTATATATGATTTTTATTATATATATATATATATGATTTAGAAGGTTTAAGCGCTAATAAAATAGTTTAGAAGATATACAATTAAGTGAATACACCGTGATATACACAGTGTGTTTAAAATTAGAGTAATAAATTAAACAAGAATTGTTGTGCTCCTTTTATATTTTCTAGCTGGTTTTTTTACTGATGTGGAGAATGCAGACCACTATAGCTTAGATTATCAACGTATCTAGATCACAACGGACGACTTAGATGTGTTCCACGTTAGAGGCGTGTACCGATTCCAGCATCGTGAATGAGCACATCTGACCAAATTAGTCATGCAAAATTAGACTTTTTATTTATTTATTTTTGAGTTATACCGGATAATGTGACGAGGTCTTTGTTGTTGAGGCCCACTGCGGAGAACTTGGACTGGAGGGTGCTTAGGCTGTCGAAGGGAGCCTGTTTAATAAAGAGTAAAACTTGAGAATGTGGAGGGTTGTTTGTACAAGAGCAATCAAGCTGGAAAAAGCGGTGAACTTGCCAGATTATTATTAAAAAAAAAAAACAAGTAACTGGTTTGAAATGAAAATAAATTTCTTGCAATTGGAAAATGCAAATCGAATAGATTTTGCAACAAAAGACGTACATCTTAGAATAAAAGGTAAATGCAAAAATTCAAACGAGGATCTGTAACAAATATTTCATGCAATCATTTGCTGCACTTATAATTAATATTTTGTGCAAGCCTATTGGTTGTGTCCATGGATGAGAGAAAATTAGATAAATTAGTATAAACCATGGAGCGAGGTCCACTTGCTATACATTTCTATTCATCTCTATCATCTCCTTACAAGTGCCAGTCAGCACCAGTTAGAAAAGCCATTTTATAAATAAATCTTAATTAATTTTGCCAAGATTTCCTCAAGACTCTTGGGTGTTAGTCAGCTAGAACATTTTTGATAGAAGTGGAATAATTTTTATTATGAGATAATTTTTAATGTGAGATATTTTAATGAGATAATTGGGAGTGATATTTTAAAACATGATATTTTAGTGGGACAGTTATTAGTATAATTAAGGATAATTTTCAGAAACCAATAAGCATATATATAAGTCATGTATTTTGATGATCATACTGCTGTTTATACATTTCAAAACTTATTATTATTATTTTAGTGTTAATTAATCTTGAAGAACTATTACATAGACTATAAGATTAACTTTTTGATTTTTTGGAATTATTATTGTAATATAAATTAAAAAATAGTTTTTCCTTTTTTCCTCTTTCTTTTTTGATCTACCATACATCATTCCATCATCTCTCAATTTTAATTAATTTTTAATAAAACTTAGATTTTGTAATTTTTAAATTTAAATTAATTATACAGTTCAAATATTTAATAAAAAGAAAAAAAAATTACATTAAATAGAAGGGAAGGATAAAAAGAGATGTGATCTAATTTTATGGTGTGGTTTGAAGATGACAGAGAAATGAGATATGAAAAATAAAAAAAGTAAAAAATAAAGTTCTAGTTTTTTACCATGTAGTTCTAGCTTAAAACTTGGGGAAATCTGAGAGACTAGAACTCTCTCGATCTTTTCTATATAAATTTGACAAAAATGAGATAAAATTTTATAATTATCTCAGTTCAACTTTTTATCGATCCAGCTCTTGTTGACTAACACTATATAATTTTATCCTAGTTTTAGTTTCAATGGACTAACACTATAAAATATTGTCCCACAAATTATCCGAGTTTTAATTTTGAGTTCTACTTGACTAACCCCTCCCTAAATTAACTCACATAACTGGGAAGGGCATTGATGCTTCTTACCAAGTTAACCGATGCCTCAGCTGCAAGTGCAAGAATATCAGCACAAGATACTACTCCAGGACACTCTGCCTCTAATCCTCTCTTAATATTATCCACCGCATCAAATCCCCGAAGCGAGTTTTTATTCGGAAGTGCATCCTTCTCGCTCTTTATGGTCTTCGAATCATCCAACAATACAGACCCATCACAACCCTGCAACAACAAAGAATCACAACAACACACATTCACAATCAAATTACATGAAACATTAATTCGTCTCTCTACATTTTTTTTAATTTTCTCAACGCATATATAGTTTGACTTACATCAACAAAACAATCATGGAAATGGAGGCGAGTGAGGCTGGCATAGATCCTAGGGTCGGAAGTATGAGCTAGCTCAACAATGCTTCGGACGATGTGCGCTACATTTGGGCACGTGTGACGGTAGTAATCAGAGGTGAGTCCGGCCTCGGATCTATGAATGAGGAGTGGCAAGAAGATGGCTATGGCTAATAGAAGAGAAGAAGATGGAGTCATATTTCCTCTAATCTTTTGAGAGAATATAATGCTTCTATTACCTAGCTAGGATTTGTATGATATTTACTTTGGTCATAGACACGCCTATATATATATATATATATATATATATATATAGAGAGAGAGAGAGAGAGAGAGAGAGAACTACCCATGCACGTAAAGTGAGCGACTTGGAAGATTCCCGTTTTAGTGAGACTAGCTGGTCTAATTCAAAATAAGATCCTCTCGTGGCTTAAAACATTTTTATATTAAAAAAAAATGAAGGAATCAAATGGAGAAAAGTTAATTATATATTATTTTATTAACACTTAGATTTTCTGATGTCCGAACAGAATTATTCTGTATCTATGTTCAACAGTTACGAGAGACATGACATCTCTTTACAACATACCGATATATTAGGAAACTACAACTCTTTAACATCGCGTAACATCCACTCTCACTCTCATCACACCAATGGAATGGATATAGATAACATGAATATGATTCTGTTTGGACATCTGGAAGTCCAAATGTTAATATAAAGCTTTAGGGGACAAGGGTTGTACATGCAATAATTAATTAATTTAGTGTATAAAATATAAATTTCTACCCAGAAATTCAAAAATGAAAATTTTGAAAAGAAATGTTCTCTTGTGCCGCCATCTATCTATGTGGTCAGTAGTCAATGCCAAGCTGGATACAAACTGTCTGCTTACGTGAAATGAGATAAAGCGTTTAGGTTACACCAACCGCATTTTATTTAAAGTTTTGTGCCCATTAATCATAGAGAACTAGTGGGGATATGTTGTCTCAAGTGTAATAAAATGAAATTACTTGGAAATCTATTTATTAACGAAGTGAGATGTTTTTTTGATAAAAGCAGTGAGATTTTGTTGGTGCGTACGTACTTTTTCTATTGTTGTATCCATACTTTGTATATTTCGTATAAGTATCGCTGTGATGATCGATGACTGAAAAAGTCAATTATAAAAAAGTATCGCTCATGATGATATCGCTCATGATGATGAGTGAAAAAACCAATTATAAAAAAGTATCGCTCATGGTGATGACTGAGAAAATCAAGGATTGATTTTCTTAGTCAAAGCATGATTCTTGGAGATAGATTTGATGGGCATAATTCTGAGACCTAAATCAAGGGAGATATAATGTGCTTAATATTTGGAGATTGGGGAAGCTAAATTTAAAGGGATGTGTTGTATCGGTTTTACTAAGGAATAATTTGTATTTTTAGCATGTATATTGTGATTAGAATGTGTATAAAGAGATAATCGCACGTAGTGCAGGTGATGCAAATTGATTACAAACGAATTTGTTTATGTTCCTCGATCCCCCTTATCATTAATTCCTTACAATTTTTTTTGCATGAAACCACCAAGAATTATTTTTTTAACTGTAAGAAAATATCTGGTACGTATTAGATATATATGTCAGAAAAGATAAAGAAACAGACTAAAAAATTCATTGATGTTTGCTCCTTCTGTTTGACATGCTAATTTTTTGCTTTTTTATGCAGAGTAGAGACTATATTGGCTTAATTTGCACAAATACGATAATACTTTCTCTATTTGTAGGTTGGGAATCTGATCAATCAATTTGTACCTGAGGACATAACTTTTTTAATTAATTAATGTTAAGAATGTTAAAGCAAGGGAATTGTAATATTGCTTTACACACAAAGATCCAATCAAGAGTGTTAAAGCAACTTTCCTACAAAATGTTTAAGGAAAATTATTAATCTCTTTAGAAGTCTTTTTCGTTGGAAGAACTTTCTTTTTCCTAACGTGGTATTGGAATATTAGTTGACCATTTTTAAATCCAGCTTTGTTTAATTTGGTAGGAGCCCAAAACCTTTTCTTTTCTTTTATTTTCTTTTGTTTTTAATTTTCTTCATTTTTTGAAGGAATACAAGCTATCGAGCTACTAAAATAATTTGTGTGGTGAACCTTTTTAAAGGAAAAAAAATTGAAGTTTAATGTAAAAAACATTCTTTAACAACACTATTAAAATGATTATGTCATAGCAATATAATACAAGAAACATTATATATTCACTTTTAGCAGAAAAAGCGAAGACCAACGTGCATGACGTTTGCTATAAAGTTATGTAAGTGAAAGTGATAAAATGGGTCTATCAGAAAAAATGATTAGCAAGGATAAATTTCGTGAAAAAGACAGAAGGGGACATTTATTATTATTATTATTATTATTTCGAGATGAAAAATTCTTTAAGGACCCAAAATATGTGACTAATAAAGGGGACAAGTGAGATGTTCCCCTCCTATTGGATAATGAGTTGGTCATCATTAATGATGACCAACTCATTATCCAATAGGAGGAGGACAACTCACTTGTCCCCTTTATTGGTCCCATATTTTGGGTCCCTGTAGCAAAACTCAATTTAATTTAGACCAATTTTATTTCGGATGCATATTCATGGAAACAGATGCGTCGTTGTAAATTATGAGCATCCCAAATTCCGATACTTGGAGTATTTGGTATTATAAATTGAAATTCGGTTTTTAAAAATTTTCAATTTGAATTAAACTCAGGACACATTTCCAGCTTTGTTTAGTAACTTTGGATTCTAAAGACTTATTATGGATCCAAACTGTTTACAATCCTAATTCTAACATGTGATTTTTTATTAATTAGTAGATTCGCTTCGAATATCAGCCAGTTTAAAATACTGCTTAAGGTGGCTTCGTTGAAAACTTTATTAGCTATCAGCCCGAATTTGTTGTCCTTATCAATACAGCAAGTGAAAGTTGTAATGCATGCATGGAAATGACATCGCGACAAACTAAAAACGTTATATTCTTAAATTTCATTTTTTTATTTCAGTCATCAGCCCTCAATTTTCCTCTTTTGACCAAAAGAAACCACCATTAGTTATTAATTAATTAACAAGTCTAGCATCAACCTATCACATCCATCACGATCAAAGTTGGTAAATAAAGCGCCTAATATTTGACCCCGCTTGGAAACTTTCGTGGTGGCGGCTTCCAGAGGACCGGGTTTATACCTACGAAGACTTGAGCCGAAGCTCACAAATCGAAGCCCAAAGCCCGCAAACTTTGGGCCGGGCCCAAAACTTGAATCCCGGGGATACCGTTTCTCTATGTAGAACGTTTAGGGGCTGTTTGGTTGTATCTTTTTACCATGTAAAAGGATGTAAAGTGTAAAAAAGTGGGTCCCAATGTCAGCTTTTATCACTTTCAATTGTTTGTTTGTAGTTGTGAAAATAGTGTAAAGTGATTTCATATGCTGATGTGGCTTGTAAAGTGATTTCATGAAAAAAAGACATGATTTTAGGAGAAAGCTAATATTAAAGTTAAGAAAAAATAATAAAAAATAATTCCAACCAATATGATCATTTGAGTATGGACCACTTTTTACACTTTCCAAACAAACAATTAAAGTTTTATTTTGCAAACCAAACAAGTGTTTTATGATTCCAATGGAATAAAAAACAAACAAAGAAAAGTATAAAAATGAAATTGATGAGGTGGACAACAACTTTCCAAGTTGTGTCATAAATACACAACTTTACCAACAACAACCAAACAGCCCCTTAATGAGCTGTACTTACGGCATCGTTTGGACCAATTTATTCAGGGTTAATCGCTGATAGCCTCCCCCGTATAGTTCTATATTTTTACAGATAGACTGCTTGTAGTATTTGATCAAGAAGAGCTTTGCTATAGGAACCCAAAATATGGGACCAATAGGGGGACAAGTGAGGTGTCTCCCTCCTAATGATAGTCAACTTATTATCCAGTAGGAGGGGGACACCTCACTTGTCCCCCCTACTGCTCCCATATTTTGGGTTACTATAGCAAAGCTCTTTGATCAATTGCCAATAGACCTCTCATTTAATCAATTATTATTTCGTCCAGCAAATAAAAAACATTCTACATCGTAGTAGTGAAGCGTTTACATGAAGTCTAAAAAATATCAGCATACAACTTGTCCTTCGTTCTTATACATATTACATCAAATTTCACACAACAAACCTTTTACCATGCACAACATCAAGCACAACACCTACCCGTAAACATTACCTCCATCCATTAGTTAACCACCCCACAATTTTTCCGAATCTCTGCGTTCGACCCAGTCAAGGGGCTAATATTCCCCGTATTAACCACCCTACAATTTTTCCGAATCTCTCCGTTCGACCCAGTCAAGGGGCTAATATTCCCCATATTAATCATAGAATTCACAAAATCCCCAAAGAACAAGCTACTATTCCCATTGTAAGTTTGAACCAATGCTTTCGTCGCTGCAACCCCTTCGGCGCTCGAGAACAGGCCTTGGTCCGACGATAGAAGCCCCTTTTGGTTGAGCAAGTTGTTGAAGTAGTGGTTGTCGAAGACGTCGGCGGAGTTGCGATCGAGGGGGGATGTTGCGTTGCCGTCGCCGGTTTGTGGGCAGAGAGATTGGAGGTCG